ATCTGTCCTTGAACACATCTCCAGCTGTGAAGYACATTTGTGAACACCGACTGTGGAAGAAGTCCCGAACATTCTGTGAAACATCTCTGGCGCTCCCGAGTGATCCACTGACACCGACTGACACATGCAGCTGGAATAAGTCGCTCCAGAGCTGTTGGTCTGATCAGTGACTTAACGGAAACTTTGATTCCCCTCTGAGCTTTTGAAAAAACACGGCACTAAAAAAAAGAAGCTTATTTAGCAGGGTGAGGATTTACCTTGGTGATGCTGATGGTGGGCAGAGTGTTTACATCAGTCACAGCAAGATTCAGCTTGTTCTCCGGAACAAAGAGTTCGATCACCTCCTCCAGGATCTCACCCGGCACAATGCTCTACATTAAATACATGAAGAATTAGTAAAATTATCTGGTCAAATTTATAGATATGTGTTAGTTATCATTTCAAACAAGCCTAAAATAYTGATATTTCATTAATAAACAACAACAAAGGCTAGGACTTTAAGACATTTTATGTCCAAAAGGCCTGATGTGGAGCAGAGTTCTTTCTTACAAGTTAATCAGGAGCATTGGCTGCATTTTGCAGCAGCTTTATCTTTTGATCATAAAGTCTRCATTCTTGACAACAGCAGAGGAGTTTTTAGAGGAAGGAAATGACTCGTGAGAAACCGAACAAAAGCCATGGAACTTCCTGTCTTCCTGTTCTCTTCTTTTTTTCGTTCCTTTTGCCTTTTTCGCTCCTTTTAACTTTTATTAGTTTGCAGCTGACCAACAGGTGTGACTCCAGGCAGGTAAAAAAAAAAAAAAAAAACTAGAATCAAATGCTTAACTTCCATTTTAAATGATATTTACTCAACTGAGAAATCATGTTTAAGTCTTGCTCATAATATGATCTTCAAACGTATTAAAAATTTAACAAACAAGGAAGTTCTAATGTTTCTTGAACCTGCTGCACTGCATATCAGTGCATGTTGTTTTACTAATACTTTAGACTTTATTTTCTGATTTTCAAAATTTTTGAGCATTTTGAGCAAAAGTAACTATATTTGCATTATTCCTCCGTAAGATTATACATTGATATCGCTTAGATTTCCTGCGGACGATCCCAAGAATTTTCTCTGAATGTGTAAAGTTTAAGCATTTATGGATTTCCAGCTTTTACTGAATGCACTCTGAGTCGCCTACAGTACCATAAATATGTAGWTTTTCTTCAATGAAGCTGGAGAAAAAAAAAAAAGAAAAAAGAATCACTTTATATGTAAGAACTGGAATTTCCAGTTTATTGAAGCCACCTGAAACCAAAGCTGAGTGAAGCTGGCACTCAATGTGCCCTAAAGTTATGTGTGTGAACGGTTTACAAATGTTTTGAAGCAAAAAACTAAGTTCCTGGTGTTAAAAAGCCATTTTGTCTTTGTGTACTATTACATCAACAAAATAAAACATCTACAAAAGATGTCTAAAATCAACTTATTTTTCAATCCCAAAACAACTTGTAATCTAATCAATAATATTCTATTTAACTGTGTTCCATCTTCTGTTAGTTCCTGCTCTTTTCTTTAGGTGCTATATTCAAATTCCTCAAAGTGCAAATCTTTCTGTAGCGGCTTGCAAATCCATTCAATACATTCACACTAAGCCATTGAACACAGCTTGGCTTTGTGCCAGTCATTCTCCGTGTGCCAAGATCTAGTGATAAACGAAGCGCAGGAACCTGAAAAAAAACATGTTCTGTCATGATGACACAGCAATATCTTTTGGCGAGTCATCTGTCACCTTTACATAAGGCTGTAAAAAAACAACAACAACGTACTTGCGTGTCTGTAAATGTTATTTGTAACCTGGCAGCAGAAGCAGTGATGGTTATTAAAATTCAGTAATGTATTTGACTTGTGAGAAGAGGTAATTTAGCAAACCGCGAGGTGATTTACAACTTTTTTCCCCCTCGGTTTGACTTGTGCTTGACTGTAACAAATTAATGTGCTGGAACATAAACAGGGACTATAACCTGATCTACACTGTTATCGTCTAACTCATCTTTCGAATATTTACACTAAATAACCCCCATTTCGATTTCATTTTTAAAGAAAAACACGTGTCTTTTTCTTTGCCACCAAGCCAAGTTGAAAGAAAATGATGGTTCACTTATTTTTAACAGTTAAGTTGTGGTTTTTGAACTTATTTTTTGGCATGTTTGTATTGACATTTATMTGACAAGAATGGACCAATGTTGGTCAAACCAGTTTTTGTCCCAATATACAGGAGCCACACCTCGTATAGAGTTCACATTCTGTGGTTTAGTTTTACAGCATAAAGCTGAATCTGTTCACATAAAGTACTCTGATTTATTGTTAGCCTAACAGCATATATGCCTGTCATTTGTGACCAAATATGTCTTGGGCAAAYRTTATGCTCTCTCTTAGATGACTAAGGATCACCATGATTTGYTCTCTCTTTCATTTCAACTATTGTAGCTGAGCTTCTAAAGCTAATAAAGAAAGGACGGATCCTCAATAAATAGCTTTTTAGAAAGTGAGACAGACCTTAGCAGCCCCTCCTTGATTATACTGAACTTGCTTCTTGACATCCATCAAAGGGTTTGTTTAAATAGACATAAACTTTTCTATGTACTGGGACAATTCAATGTTTGCATTTGACCCTAACATTACCTACAGCTCTTTACGACATGTCTCATTTAAAAAAAGAAAAAAAAAAAGCTAACTCACTGTGACTATATGAAGCATTGAAGAAGATTCTTGGTGCTCCCACATACCTGATCCCTGAGCAGCTCCAGCAGCTGGTGGATGCACTCGTTCACTGAGAGCTCTCCGGTTTTCAGGACAAGTTCCGGTGCCTCGGGGCGCTCGTACTGCGAGTCAATTCCAGTAAAACCTGGCAAAAACATGAAGTCCGACCACTTCAACAACTTGAACGAGAAGCAGGTTAAGCATAAAGTGACAGCTACTATGTTGTGTTTGGGATTACTGGAGTGAAAAGGTATTTACCTTTAATTTCTCCAGCGCGAGCCTTCTTGTACAGTCCTTTCACATCCCTGCTCTCACACACTTCGAGGGGGGCATGGACGAACACTTCCAAAAATTGCAGCCCGGCACCCTCRTGGATCTTCCTCGCCTCGTCACGATCCTGCGAAAAAAAAAAAAGAGTTCACAAAAACCTTTTATTGAATTACAAGCTATCCATTTGTGTAGGATAATGAGATTTTGCACACTCAAGCCAGTCAAGGTAATGAGGGGGATCTTTTCTGACCTGGGCAAAAGGAGAGATGAAACTAGTGATGCAAACGAGACCTGCATCTGCAAACAGTTTCGCAACTTCAGCGACACGTCGGATGTTCTCCTCGCGGTCGTTATCAGAAAAGCCCAGATTCTTGTTCAGGCCGTGGCGGATGTTGTCACCGTCCAGCGAGTAGCAGGGGATCCTGTGGGACACGAGATACTCTTCCAGGGCAAAACTGATGGTGGTCTTCCCAGCGCCTGATAGACCTAGTGGCCATAGTTTGTAGGATATCACATAAATCTTTGTATAACGAAGAATGAGCCAAACATATGGCAAGAATAGTCTTGATCACAAAGGGTTTGTCTTTGCCTACTAGTTCATGACTGCACTACTTGCACATTTAATTGCACTTYGGTGCACAAATTCAACTAACCCTTTCACCTTTTGGCCAACTGGTGGTACTTTTGCCCTCTTGTAGTCATTTTGTCACACTAATCCAAAAGTCCAAACTTCTTTGCCTTTAACTGCACTAGTGGAGCACTGGAGCAAACAAGTCAACAACCGTGTCTTAGAAGTTATCTAAGCAGCAAAAACCCTTACACGTTAACTATTCAACACAAAATATGCCTTCCAGTAAACTAGTGACTGTCAAATGTCCTAACAAGTGCAGCTAACAAATACCAACAAGTTGGTACGTGCTCRTAAAATGTTTACTAGTTAACTAGTAAAGCTCCAAATATTCATTTCTTGACAAGTGAGACTAAATTTGGTCTTATTAGTTGACTAGTTATGCTAAAAATACTCATGCTACAGTCACTAGTTGACTAGTAATCAAAATCTAAGGGATTAGATGCTGACTAGTTTAAGTGGACACTATCGTGCTTTTCAATCCTTCTTTTTCACATTTTAATCCTTCAGTTTTAGATTCTATATAAAGGGAACTGTGATGCTTAGATCTAATTTCCTCCRTATTTTAACCTTTCCAGCTCCTCTTTCGCCTCTTTTCTGAGGTGTGTGTCCAAGCAACTCGTTTTGATGTTYCTTTAAATTCAAACGAGGCGCTTCACCCCCCACCCCCCTCCAGCTTTCAGAGCAGTTCATTCAAGTTTGATGGGTGGGTTTATGTTTATCTAGCAGTGCAAAAAATGTTCTACTTAGGCACTAATTAAAAGAGGTCAACCAGGGAAGACCTGTCCATACAGCCTTAAAAGTTCGAGCCAGAGTCAAACGAGCAGGTAMAAATGGCACGAATCTTTACCAAATGTCAGATTACAGATAAACGTACCTGTGAGCCAGATGGTGCAGCCCCTGAAGCCTCCCCTGGTGCCAACGACCTGCCCTCTCTTGGTCCTGCTGACGTGGTGGGCCTGGTACACCACGTTGGTGGACCTAACGTGATCCTGAAAGAGACGRGCAGATACTCAGGCAGAAGAACGGGCACCCCTGGTGAGCGCCTGAAGCTAAAACAGCACCGTCAGCATGACGCAAAAGGCCGTGCCAACGTTACGGAATTCGGACGGACGTTGCGGAAAGTGGCCACCACGCTTTCGATGAACAGCTCTTTATTGGCTTTTGGACGGGAGACTTGAGGCATGGAAGGAGCAGGAGGGAGGGAGAGGCCTGACTGGACAATGTGTCCAGTGTGCTGCCTGTGGCCAAGCGATGATGTGGCAGGCAGGGCTCGGGCCCACATCATCCCACTTTGCCTTTTTTCCAGGATCAGCCATCCTATAGAAACGACTCATTCATTAGTTTAACAGACTATAACCAGCTCATTCATTAGTTTAACAGACTATAACCAGCTCATTCATTAGTTTAACGGACTCCACCCTGACTATTTGTGCTTTCACTGGATCAGTCAACACCTGATAACCCCTGTTTAAAAGACCTCTTTTGAACAAACACAGAATTGCTACAGATAGTCCTCTGACACCAATGATGTATCAAAGACTTAGGTCATAGGAGCTATACAGTTTATTTTCTTTACTCAGCCATTATCCAGTCTTTCAGGATTGCACAAGAGATAAAAGAACTAAAACATTCAGATAGTTCTCCACCCAGATTGAAGTTCTATTTTTTTCCATTTCCTCCATCCATCTGCCAGTGGCTCATGAGAATTGTGCCAGTACAATTTGCCGACAGGATAAATAGATAAAAACAGAAAAAACAAACAGCACTGAAATGTACTGTACCACCAACTTAGTTCTGTCTTATGGAGAGGGAACTTTCTCAAATAAAGAGATAATGGAACTACTGAAATCATTTTGTCAAAATCTTGAAGCACAGCTGTAGTTTCCTAATTATGTTTTTTTACTGGCAATTAACTTTGTCATTTATGCTCTAAGAGAATTTATCAGTTTTTGTTGATTTTCTATGAAGTGATTACCTTTTATCTTGAGATACTGAACATCAAAGTCTTTCACAACTCAACCCAACTCAAGAACGTCGGCTGGCACAGCAAATTATAACTGAGTCTGTTTTACATCTAAAATTTGGTGTGATAAAACCTGAGACTGGTCCCACGCACGTACGGCAGATATTTCGCCATTAACTATTTGGCATCAACTCTCTCTGTTAGAAAATTATCTCTTGAACCCCTGAACAGATTTTAGTGAAACTCTCAGGAAGTGACCACTGGATGTGCGTCTTCAACTCATTAACCTTTAGAGACAACCCCATTCAAGTTGGCTGTTGCAGCTAATTRACATCAGCCAACATAAAAATTGCTCTAACACATATTGTCATAATTTGTATTTTTAATGTTTAGCATTTTATTTTGAGCTTTGTTTTCATACTTATTTCTTCCGATGTTTCATTTATGTATAGACTGTGTGCTCAATTTTATTTTTATTTTTTTTGGTCCTCTGCCTCTCCATCCACAATAAATATCCAGTCAGCCTCTCAGTTCTCGTCCTCCACTCACACCTGTCCCTCATTCCARTTAGTCTCAGCTGCAGCCAATTACCTCGCCAGTCCATTTCTTTTTAACCCTCTATGCTTTTCACCTCACATCAGTCTGGCATTGTGCATGTTCTTGGTGCCATGTCAGCCTTTTTTACTTTGTTGAAAACTATGTTTTATTTTAATTCAGAATGGAGTTCCTCATGTCAGTTACATCCCTGGGTCCAACTTCTACAAACTGTGAGAGCTTTTCTGCTAAGATTTTGGGTGTTGCCGTAGCTGAGAGTCATCCCTACATGTACCCAGAGCGTAATATCATTAAATTTGACCAAAATGCCATTTTACACGTGTTCATTAGATGTATAGACTCACACTATGGGATCTGCTGAACCAGTGCTTAACCTCTGCAGAAAAGTGTGAAAAATGAACCCCTCAAAAGTCATCTCATGTGGGAGGAAACCTACAGGAAGTATTCTCTCTTAAGATTCGAGGCATACAGCAGGTAAAATAAGTATAGAACACGTCACCATTTTTCTCAGTAAATATATTATTAGAGGTGCTAACGACATGAAATTTTCAACAGATGTTGGTAACAACCCAAGTGATCCAAACATACAAAGAAATCAAACCATAAATGTCCAGAAATGAAGTTATTTGTAATAATGTGGAATGGTACAGGGAAAAAGTATTGAACACAGTCGTGAAAATGATTTACCAAGGATCCAGAAACACGTTGGAATGAATGCACAGAAAGTCTGCGTGTATGGTCGTCAAAAT